CTAAAAGTGAGATATATAGTATAAATTTAAAATTAATGTGATGTGAGCTATAATCAGAATAAATATGATCCTTAAATGTACCTTTATGAATATATAATATTGTTCGTTCAAATTTTAAGGTTTAATTGCACTTTAGAATAATTTTTAAAAATAATTTGTTTCATTTAATCTTTTAAGGGATCAATTGTTTTTTTTTTTCAGATGGGGTCAATTGTTTTTAAACATATTTAAAAAGATAAATATTTAAAAGCTCGCAATTTTAATATGATAAATATGTAAAGTTGTCACGTCACATTTGTATTTCCATTTTTGATCAAACACAAAATCATGCTATTTGTGGATAAGCTTAAGACCTCGTTTGTTTTCAGAGGTAGAATGAAGGGGATTAATAGTGAATGGATTAATAGTAAGAGAATTATTAGTGAGGGGATTGATAGTGAAAGGATTAATAAAATTGTGTTTGTTTTCATAGTGAGGGGATTAATAAAATTGTGTTTGTTTTGTTAGTAAAGGGATTGATAGTGAAGAGATTGTTAAATTATTTTTATATAAAATAATAAAAAAAATAAAATTATGATTTTTACTTAAGAAAAAATACAAAAACATTAAACATTAATGTTTAAAAAAAATGCCCAACAATTAAAAAATAAAAATAAAAATCAGTTGACTGGTTGACCGGTCGGACATCCGACAGCTCACTAAGCCGACGGATTATTTTTGTAATACCACCTCTTTACCCGGGCTATCAATCCGCTCACCCAAAGCCCATCGTAATCCAAACAGACTACCAATCCAGAGGCCACAGATAAAATAAACATGAGCTACCTGCATTGTTCATCCATCACAATCCACTCCGGACTGTGATGGCGTCCAAACAAACGGGGCCTAATAAAGTTTCAAAAATAAAAAAATAAAAATTTAATACGACATAGAAGTAAATAAAGTCGTAAATTGAACGATGACAAATACTAATAATAATAATAATAATAATAAATTAATCAATACATAAGTAAGGCCACCAATCGAAATATTGTTTGGATTTTATTGGGGGCAAAAAACGTCAACACGTTATTGTGTTTGAGTAAGAGTTTGTATGTGTGTTTTTATTTTATTTTAATTACATCGATAATTTATACATTTTGTTTTGTGTCATTTTAGTTATTTTAATTTTAGTTAACTCAATTTTAATTATTAATTTTAATTTTTTCAATTTAATTTGATTAAAAACGCCGATTAAGATTTTTAAAGAAAAATAATTATTGATTTTGTTGAAATTAACTTACTAAGTTGAATATATTTATAATTTTATCTATAAAAAGACAACATATATGGTTTATGTGCTCATTTTTCAAGGTTAACAGAAAATAAGTCTATTGGACAGAAAATATTTTTTATTTTTAAAATGTAAAAAATATTTTTTGGATTAAAATTTTACCAATATTACCACACTATCACTACTACTCTCACCTTCACCACCACGCCACAACCACTATCACCATTATCATCGCTATCAACCCCACCGCCCACCACCTCTACTTCCAACTCCACTTTTGTTTCACCACCACCACCACCACCAAATATTAAAAAAAGAATTCTAAAAAATTTGTTAATTAAAAAATATTTTTCCTTTGAAAATATTTTCTACCTAAGTTATTTCAAGCCTATATTCCCAAAATAAAATTAAAAAAGTCAGTCCAACGTCAATGTTCTTACACCTCAGTCACGGGTATGGGTGTAAAAATAGCTCGCGGTTCAAGGTGGGCTCGACCTAGTTAGGTCCGAATTAGAGTTCAGTCCGGGACCTTAAACTTGGGTCTGGGCTGTCATTTTGAAATTTGACCCGCCCCATGGCTCGGTCCATCAGTCCGCTCAAGGCCCAATCAAAGCCTGACCCGAGGCCTAGTTCGCCTAAGCCACCCGAGACCCAATATCATTTTTAGTGGAAAATAATAAATTTTTAATGAAAATAATAATAATAAAAAAAAAATTCAAGCCTGCCTAGACTTGGCCTAAGCCCGAACCCAGGCCTAGGCTTACAGGCCCGGTCCGCACAAGGCCCGAATATCCCCTAGGTCTAGACCTAATTTTCTGACCCATCAACCGACTCGGCCTGAATTTTGACTGGAACCTGTGTGATCCGACATGTGTTGCACCGAGCCCGGGCTATGGTGGGTCGGGCAAATTTACTCCTCTAGTCACGGGAATCAAAGCTACGATTATGGATTGCTTTGAGAAGTTGGTTAAAAATTAATTTTTTTTTGCTTTTCAAAAAAAATGTATAAAAAAATAAAGAGATGTGATTCAAAATAGGTTAAAATTTTTCAAATTAGGCCTATATATGAGGTGTTTTGAGAAGATAGTTAAAAGTTAATTTTTTGACATTTTAATTTTTTTTATTATTTTATGTAAGATGTGATATGACCAAAAATGAGTTAAAAAACTTACTTTTGACTTTTAATCCATATTTTCAAATGGCCCCATGGCCTCGTTTGTTATTAGAGATAGAATAGAGGGGACTCATAGTAAGGAAATTAATAGTGAATGGATTGTTAGTGAGAGAATTAAATAAAATTGTGTTTGTTTTGATAAGTTGTTGATATAGGAATTGTTAAAATAAATAAAAAATACAAAAACATTAAACATTAATGTTTTAAAAAAATGCCCAATATGTAAAAAATAAATAAATAATAAAAAATTTCCAAAAACAATAAATCAAATAAAATAATAATTTTTACTTAACAAAATATACAAAAAACTATATATTAATATTTAAAAAAAATGCACAACATGTAAAAAATAAATAAATATAAAAAAAGAAAAAAGGTCTAGCAGACTAAAATTCTAATACTACCCTCACCTCCTCCATCACAATCCCCCCTTTCAAGGCCTATCATAATACCAAGGGATTAGGAGTTTCTTTCCCATTTCTCAAAACCAACATGACATATAGGGTGTGTTTAATTGGGGGGATAAGGGGGGGATTATTTACTATGCGGATTGTAATTCGCACAGTAAATCCAATTCGATGTTTGTTTTTTTTTTTAGTTCGCCGGACATGGAGTCCGGCCGGGCTCCTTATCCCCCATATGGGAGATTGTACTATCCTAAGGGGGGGTGTGAGACAATTTTGGGGAGATTATTTACTGTTGGGATTAGGTGGTGAAATGACCATTTTGACTCTCTACTATTTAATTATGTATTATATTTAGCAAAATTCAATAAAATTTAAATGTCTCAATTTAAAAATAAAATAATTTTATTTAACTTTTTATTAATGTTTTATTTATTTTTTTAAAAATAATTTTTTATAGATATTTTATTGATGTTTTATTTTAAAATTTTGCTTATATTTTATTTTATTTCATTATTTAAATGTTAATAGATGTTTTATTTAATTTCATTGTTTAATTATTATTATTTTTAAAAAAGATGT